CAATTCAGTCGACCCCTCATTACTTGCGACCGAAACAAAGACCGAGACATCACTCGAGACACAACTCGTCTTATCTATGCGTTCAGTGATTCCGACCCCAAGTCTGTGACAGACATTAAAATTCATGGACACCACCAAAGAGGCTCTCGAAGTGCTCTTCTATTATCACAACCAAAGTCTTTAGATACGGAACCACAAGAAAAGGATTTAAAAAACTTTGTTTTGAATGTTAAAAATGTAAGATTTTAATTGTAAAACTTCATTATATAACAAAATTAAGATAAAATTGTGATTTTCTCGGAAATAGATAACAATTCCGGCAAAACAGACCACTTATTGGTGCAAAATATTCAAATTACCAGAAGTTAAGGTTCATGTCGTAAAGGTTTGTTACATTAAAAACATAAAAATCATGAATATTCTGAAATAATTTTCAAAAATAATATTAAGATAAATAAAGTTGAAAACATTACATTTGAAACCTTAAATATTATGTTAAAATTACATAAAAATACAAATAATTTTACAAATTTAATATATTTTTATTGACTGCCAGTTTGACCCGTACTTAACCCACGGGAATGAGGCGTTCACTCATCACATCTCTCTGTACTCCTGCATACATCCCAACCCTATTATGTTAGAAGAATACCTCAACGACGAGGGCTCTGACTGTACGGACAGCGCAGTTATGCCCAAAGATTTGAATCATTGTTTTGTACCGAACCTAATGTGGGCCGTAGGCGCCGGGTCTTTCAATCTACCGCCTGATGTGGCCTTTCCATTGGGTTCACCACAAGAACACACGTATGTAATGCTTAACATACACTACGATAATCCGGAAAACATTGCAAAAGTGGTCGATTCGTCCGGAATTCAAGTCTTTTACACAAAGAATCACAGAAAGTATGAGGCCTTCAATATGGGTATCGGTTCACCACTGGATAACCGCATATTCATACCTCCAAAGCAACAGCACTTCCACATCACTGGCCACTGTCACACCAAATGCTTTGAAAATGTTTGTCTTACACTTAATTATAGCATATTATCAAATCTATTACTCTATATTTGTATCATAAAGTTGATTAAGTAATAATCAATTAAGTGATAATATTTTGTATATCACATACTTATCTATATAATAGTTTATGGACCCTGATGGTGTGAAGGTGTTTGCCATATGGCCTCACGCCCACCTCTTAGGTATTTATAAATAACATGCGTTTAGTTTAATAGTTTTTTAATAGTTTTTTAAATATTTTTTATAATTAGCGACTAAACTAAAAGTGAGACATTTCCGAGACCAGGAGGAGTTGCCATGGATTGAGTTCGACCAGAATTATGACTTCAATTTGCAATCATTTCGTGTATTGAATCCAATGAGAAAAATCAAATTTGGAGACCAATTGACTGTTGAGTGTGAATACGACTCGAGTGCCAAAAATAAAACCGTTTTGGTCTGTATTGCTGTCATTAATGATTGCATTTTACATAATATTCTTATCGTTATATTCGCTCAAAGGGTGGGTACGGCACCAGTGATGAGATGTGCACCGCATGGCTCTACTATTACCCCAAAATGAGCAAAACTAAGCCCTGTTTCAGTGGACTCACTGATGATAACAGGCGAAGAGTAGCCGGTATTTCATCCAAGTCTTCACTGAGTGCTTCCCGACTGACTGACTATTTGAGTTCAAAACAGGACTGGAATCAATCAATTCTTGACAAATCATATGATATTATGTTAAATATAACACAAAGACTTGAGTGTTATTGGCTTAAGACTGGCAATGAATATGAAGGACTCGTTGGCTATCCTTATATTAAACAAGTTTATAAACCATTAGAAGATATGCAATGCTATGTCGATGTCTATACAAAGCACTCTATTATTGTTAGTTTTATATCAATTATATCCGTCTTAATAGCCCTATCCATCGCCACATTTTTGGTGTACCGACACAGACATCGGTTTCAAAATCCTCCCCGAAATAGATTGGTTTGACTGTTGTGTTCAGTTATTTCAAAACAAATACAATATTAATTCATTTTGAAAAAATGTCAAAACTGAACCGATTTTTAAAATGTACATAAAATCATGATAACTATTATCGAAAGTTATAATTAATTTTATATATTGTATTGACTAATACTGTATGTTAACTCAATAATGATCACTAGATTCTATCATTTTTAAAAATTATAAGTAATTTTTTATGACTTACATATTTTGTGTTAATATAATGTTTATAGCTAAATAAATATATAGACAAAATGAATGACTAGTTTCTTTAAGTATATTGCAAAATGTATTTAAATTCTTATCAAATTCAATGTTTGTTATTGTAAGAATTTTTGTAAAATAAACCAAAACTTTAAGTTTAGACTGAATTACTGTATCATAACATTTGAGTCAATCTCTTATCAGCTATTAATTGAGACGTGAAAATCTCTAGTTTATAAAAAAATATTTTGAAAATGTGTTATCTAATAAAATTGACCAAAATTTCATTTATTTTAAGTAGTATTTAATTTGACTCAACAAATGTTGAAATATTTGGTTTTATGTTTGTTTTTTAATAGTTACCTTTCATTTGTGTCATCTATTGATACAAATGACTGGAACTATCACTTATGGTTAGATCCACACGAGAAATATAGCCTTAAATGGAAAGTCGATTCAAACAATCAAAGCATTACTTTCTTATGTGAAGTCCAGACCAGAGGTTGGATTGGTTTCGGTCTTTCACCCAATGGTGGTATGAAATCAAGTGATTTGATTATTGCATGGATTGACGACAACACAGGAATCACTTATTTTAATGTATAAAATGGTGTTTTGCATTCAAAGTCATATAAAAATTTCAAACCCTTTTCAATGATCTGAAGGATCGGTTTGCTTCGGAAGAATCGGTGCCACAAATAGATGAGAGTGAGGACTGGTATCTCATAGACTCAGTACAGAACTCAACGCATACTATCATTCAATTCAGTCGACCCCTCATTACTTGCGACCGAAACAAAGACCGAGACATCACTCGAGACACAACTCGTCTTATCTATGCGTTCAGTGATTCCGACCCCAAGTCTGTGACAGACATTAAAATTCATGGACACCACCAAAGAGGCTCTCGAAGTGTTCTTCTCTTGTCTCAACCAAATTCTCTGGAATCTGAGCCACAAGAATATGACTTAAAATCTCTTGTTTTGAATGTTAAAAACGTATGTTTTAATTGAGATGATTATTGTTTATTGCAAAAGTTATTGCTAATTAAGTTGATTATAGAAATATAATTAGTATACAATGATTATACTATATGACATTTAGTAAGAATTGCTGTTTTAATATCATAAAAATAGTTAACAATTCCTATGAAAGACACAACCTATTGGTGTAAAATGTTTAAAGTACCCAGTCGCAAAAAACACGTCGTAAAGGTAAAATAACATCTATTAAATAAATTTTATTTAAAAAGCATTTAAATTATAGATTTATTATTCAAATCAATTCAATGAATCTATAGTACAATCCATATCTAACTCGTGGTAACGAAGCGATCACACATCACATCACTCTTATGGCATGTTATCATCCAAACCATGAAATGCTCGACAAATATCTCAACACTGAAGGCGAAGACTGTACGGGAGTTATGCCCAAAGATTTTGCCCATTGTTTCCTCCCATATATCAATTGGGCGGTCGGCGCCGACACTTTTTATGCCCCTAAAGAGGTGGCCTTTTCATTAGGCGACGACCCGTCCAACACTTACTTAATGCTTAATATACATTACGATAACCCGGATCACATTGAAGGGTTGGTTGACTCTTCAGGACTCGAACTCTTTTATACGAAACAGTACCGCAAATACGAGGCATTCCTTATGACTATTGGCTCCACATTTGACTACCGAATGCTTATACCTCCCCATCAGAAGCACTTCCATGTCAACAGTCATTGTCACACAAAATGCTTTCAAAAGGTTTTTACAATTGATTAGAGTTTCCATTAAATTGTAAAAACATTTCTATTCATAGACTATGAATGAGAACGGAATCACTGTATTTGCTGTATTCCTTCACATGCATTATTTAGGTATTTATACTTTGTACCTTGTACCTTGTATACTCTTGTATACTTTAATAGTAATTATAAAATATATGTCAATTAATAGGACGAAGAATAAAAATAAGACATTTCAGAGGCACTCGGGAGCTTCCATGGCTTGACTTTGACCACAATTATGACTTCAATTTACAACCGTTTCGCACATTGAGTCCAACCGTTCAAATCAAATCCGGGGATCAGTTGACCGTTGAATGCGATTACGACTCGAGTCATAGGAATACAACTACTTTTGTAAATTACCTTTACTTTACTACCTAGTACCTTTACTACTTTAGTTTATAATTTGTAAATCTACATTTGAACTATTATTGACTTAAATTATATAAACATTTGCCGTGAATCGCAATTTGAAGGGAGGTTTGCGTACGAGTGATGAGATGTGTTTGGCTTTCCTCTACTATTACCCGAAATTAAGTCAAACTAATGTCTGCGTGAGCGGACTCACCCATCAGTCCATACAAAGATTGGCAGACATTGACGAAGACATTGAGTTTGGAAACGATTCAGAGCTCATTGATTATATCAGGGCTAAATCAGGCTGGAATGAGACAGTGATTAAGCAAACAAATGAACTCATCTTAAAGTCTAAGCAAAAGCTCGAGTGTTTTGTCTTCCGTACGGGCCTTGACTTAGAGTTTAATGAACTCATCGGTTATCCAAATGTGAAGCAAGTCTACAAACCCGTCAAATATGACTGCAAAGCCAGTGTCATTCAAATCACCAGCAATACTACTCACCTGTCATATACTCTATCAACAATTGGTGCCATGATTTTAATCATTATATCTTTGTTTGCTTTCTACTATTTTAAACAAATGATTTTCCATAATCATCATCAGACTAGAAGTGAACTCTAATTTTTGTTATCTATAATCTGTTCACATCTATTAACTTTATATTTTTAATCTTTTGTATATGATTAGTAATCATTGATTACTTTCAATATACAGTATATCAGTTTACGATTGAACAATATTTTGTATCAAGCAACGAGTTTTAATGTATTCAATTTTAATTTTGACTTTTCATATTACTTGCATGCAATTATGATAATTACTACTACAAACATTTGTTGTATAATTTGAATAAATAAAGCTTTTTAATTATACATGTCATATAAATACAGTGATTATAATCATAATTCTTATAAATTAATGGTATGATAAATGTCATGCAAATGATATTAATTAAAAATCTCTTTCACCAAAGGTCACAACTGAAACTTGAATTCATTTTTGTTCCCAAATTACATTTAAATGCATCGGAAAATGGTTTAAATTTACTTAAATGTGGATTAACTCTGTATTTCTGAGGGCTGTGGGGGTCGTACTCTATCTGATCCTTCAGTGTCTCCGGTCTTATGAGTCCACAAGCTATCTGTAAATAAAATACTTAACATAAGAAAAACTATTCAAAACAATTATATTAATACAGTAATATCATATTATCGTTATATACAGTATAACTAATAATGAAATTGACATACATTTGCATAGGATATGAAGAATAACTGATCGGCAGAGTATTGGTTCACAAACGGCAGTCTTTGCGATTCCCCATACTTTTTCTCATACGATTTAAAGGCATTGAAGGCCTGCTTAATGCCTCCCGCATCCGATATGTCCTCTCCAACAGTATTCCTCGCGTTTAACTGTTTTATAAATAATTAATTAATTTTCTCACATTTAAAAATATTTCAATTCAAATCATTTTACTGTCATATTCACTTCCGGCACAACATATTGACTGAATTTATTAATAAAGCATTTTGTCTTTTCCTTGAATATTGTTTTCATGCAGCCGTTCCACCAATTGATTAAATTTCCATTGGGATCGTATTCACTGCCTATCCATATATACCGGTATATATCGGACAATACAAATTCTTTAGTAGTTTAAACATTTCAAATATTTGTGTCAATCAAACCCTGGTCATCGAATCCATGTGTATATTCGTGTCCAATTACCTTAACGTTAACAACAGAGAAGTACATAAATATTATATTTTTTCTTATAAGTTATATTGTATCAAGTTATATACCACTCCTATGGATCCAAAATTGAGATAAGAGGGCACTTGGTTTCGGAAGAATGGCTGACTTAATATGCCGGCCGGTATTGCTATCAATCAATATTAATAAACATAAATTTTAACAAATTACTTCAATTAATACAAAGTTTATTACTGATTGTATTTTGTGTGGGATCATAGTATGCGTTCACTTTTGCAGGATATGTGGGCCAACTGTTTACCGATTTTAATATTAAATTTTAGTTAATTAATAACTTTATAAAACTAGTATAAAACTTAAATTCACCTCAAAGTGATATTAACTGGTTTACGTAACTGTTCAAACATATTAAACACAGACATAGTCTGCAAGTATAGCAAACTTTCAAACGCTTTCCTTTTGTCTACAATTTGTGTCTATTTTTAATACTTGTTTTAATAATTAAAAGGCTTTAAGTAAATGGTTATTAAAACTTAATTACCAAATTATACAATTTGTCCAATTGTTTGTTATCTAACATCCAATCCGGATAACCGATGTCTTCTACAACAGCACTAAGTTTTTCAATGGATTTATTTTTGGTGATGTCATCCAACCAATCGTTATCCTTTAGAGATCTTTTCAGTGCTCTTCGCACATATTTGACCACAGTTTTGGCCTAGATTATAATTTTCACAACCCTTACCTTTAAAATAGCTTAATTGTAACGAACCTCTTGTCGTGATATATCACTGAAATGGTTGTCCACATATTTCCTACTGTAAGCAAATGGCAGGTAGCTTTCCAATGCCTCGATACAGTGTTTAGTGAGGGGTACCGCTGTCTTGACACCCTTGGCCACTTTATTGAATTCATACTCAAGTTGCCTAAAACTTTCAGTCGTATAAACGGCTAGTTTTTTAACAATGAGCCAACCCATATGGTTAGCAATCACTCGACTCGGAGTAGTGACCACTAGTCGAGTCACTTCCCTATAGTAAGCCAGGTCATCCACAATAAGTCTGTCTTTAATGCTTAATCTTATATTTGAATTCAATTTCTTATAGACAAATTGTGCCACTTTTAGCCAATCAGTCCTATTGCCTGTCAATGAATTGAATTCTTTGAATGTCATCCTATTATACCATACTTTCGATTCTCTCATGTCTTCTGGTTTTGTCGATAACTTTTTAAATTTAAAATAAAATTACAATTAAATAATAATAATTTTAGTGTTTATAATAATATACTTTTGCTAGTTTTGACTCAAAAGCCAAAAGTTCTTTAATATCAGTTTGAGTAATGCTGTCATCATAACCACCCAATAGTAATGCCGACCCCAGTATGTAATTCTTGTAGGCGCTCACAATATTTGAGTGGACAGATGTATCAATCAACTGATTGCGACCTAAACCAAACTCAGGTACACTAAACTAAAAACAATTACCGTAATCATATACTCTATACAATAATTATCTAATATATTACAAATAAACTATTGATATTTGTTTGGTTAGCATCCGGAAACACAGCCATTTGAAACAAAGCGGGTAAACCTGTGTCAGTACTTTGAATTAGTTTTACGGCTAATTAACATATGAATGAGTGAATGGAATAACGAGTTATCTCTATATCAAAGCTCTATGTATTGAACTATTAAGTATTCATATAGAGAATACAGTAACTATTGTACTTGATTAATAATCACCTATAGACTATAGGTGATTATTAATTAATCAAGTACAATATGTTACTGTATTATCTATATGAATACTTAATAGTTCAATACATGGAGCTATAGGTGATAGTTGAATTCATAGTGCTTTGATATAGAGATAACCCGTTATTGCATTCACAAATTCATATTGTTGTGTGACTGACCAGTAAAAGCATATAAATTGCCAAACGACTCAATCCAATCATATTTGCTTTGATTGAAATAGGATCGCTTTCCCATTAGAGGCCAACCGCCCAATCGGTTTAGCAAATCAATCAGTGGTCGAGTGCCACGGTATTCAAGGGTTTCTGTTTAGTATATCCAACAAATTCAAGTAACTTAATTTAATAAGGGATCATTCAATAAGTACGTACGCACTGGAT